GCCACGTATGTAAATTTTTCCAACACTCCCTATGAGTTACGACTGCAGTTGAATAGGATTACCGTGAGATGGACCTTAACAGCAGCTAACTCACTCTCTTCTCGTGCTCACCATGCCCAGCAGCGGACGAAGGCGTTGTAAACCTCGAAACGCAAATCTGTTGCAGTCGGGCGTGTCCTCCTCAACGGAAAAAAATCAAGTTCCGAGATCGTGGTCATCACGAGTTTTTTCTGTTGCTCGTGCAGTCAACACAAAAAAGTGGACCGATTGACTGGACCAAGTGGCGCAGTGTAAAATTATGCTCGGTAGAATTAGCGAGTCGTAGCTTCATGCGCCACAATCTTCCCTGACACCAAAGTTCCCCTCCCACTTCTTACCGCTAATTACTTTGTTAAATTTAACATTCTTTGGAATTATGTCTTACTTTCCACCCGCCACTATTTCACACAGGTCTACTATTTGAACTATTTGGGAATTGCAGAGAGGGGAAGCAGGGCTGGATCACGGAGTTTTAATGTATTAATCTCAACCAAACTAAGGATAATATGAAGGAAATGATCTTCATTACGGTGGTGAATTAAGGCATGTCTGGTTCTTGTGTCAGCAGTGGCACACACCAATTTTCGGCTAACTCTGCTCGCTCGGACTCCTCAGCTGACAAATGGGCGATGATGCTTCTAGCGGTCGCCTTCTCCTCGTCAGTGAGAAACATAAGCGTCGTTTCAAAGTTTGCCGATCTGCCAATGACGGTCATCATGTTGGCCACCATACCCATCACGCCTTCAAGGTTGCTGCTAGTGACCAACCACAGCAAAACCTCCAGAACTTGTGAGAGGATAGTCAGTCCGCGACCGGAAGAGAAAAGTTCCCCAATTAGAGTCGGCGCTTGATGCAGTAGAAGTCCGCCGCGGTGCTCCAATGCGTCTGAGTGCTCTCTATTCCCATGGTTTCGCCAGGCTCGTAGAAATTGTTCGAGTGACTCACATACGGTCTTTAATTAACGAAACCGGAGGTGAATGACAAATAGATTCTAAGCAGAATGTATGGCAACTTTGCTACCTCATGAAACGTCAATCAAAACGTCGAAATGTATTTTCAATAATAACAGAGTACTCAAGTAAGGTTGTAATACCACTTAGTACTTTAGTCACAACAATGCCGGGCTTTGAACGAGTTTGTTTCCGTTCACCTGAGAAAAAATTACATTCTGCAAAAAACGACAGGTTGGATGGTATACATTTTTCTCACTATCCTTTTCGATGTTTTTGTACATTCAAATATATTTTGTAGAAAAAACTTATCCAAAATACTCTTTTACTCATTTGGCAGGAAGCTACACCTTTTTACATTTTTTACTCGGATAGATGGTATCTTTCTGGTTTTGAAAGTTTATAAATTGCCGAATTATTTCTATGATGTGCCCATGTTGGCCAGCTTCTAGAATTTACAAGCAGCGTTTATAAATCGGAAGATAAGACGCTTTATGAATGGACAATACACGATCTTAATTCCATAATTATAAATCTTTTCTGAAATCGAAGAATACTGTATCTTCAAGTATCAAATTCGAAGAAGACGGTAACTCCTCTCCAATAAAAAGAATATTGTTGTGCATACAGAATATGTGTTCCTCTATAAAGGCATCGAAAAGTAATGGGGAAAAGTGCATACTACCTACGTATTTTGTATACATTAAGTATAGGATGAACTACGCATTTCTCTACGCCATGAAGTATGCGTTAATAGTGCTCATCGAAGTTTGCAGTGGATGCGGCAGCATTAGTAAATTAACGGATACGGTTCGTTATGAAGAGACGTTTCATGGTTTCAAAAATATCAGAATTAGAGACTATTTAAAATCTAAAAACACCCTGTTTTCGACTATAAAAGTGGCAGAAGACATAATTTTCCGCCAAAATAAGTATAAGAAGGGATATTTCCATCTTTGTTTCTCATAAAATATTTTTGACTTAATAAGGGTATCGAAAAGCAAGGTAAACCAACCATACTGCTTAAGTAGTCATTTTACAAAGTTTAGTTTTCACAGGCGACCGGAAAGAAGCCAATTAATAAACCGGCATCTTGACCGAAATATCTTGCGATTATATTTCACGGCAAGTAATATTACAACCCCTCAGCCATAACTAACCCTAGAATCGTGTAGAACAGAAATAATGGTGATGGGGGTTTTAAGGGTGAGATACCATCGCGGAAAAGCATGAAAACATTAAAAATATAAGTACATTTGCGCCAAATTTTTTCTTTCAGGCCTATATATAACAACGAAATTGAATGATAGCACAAATCCCTGAAAAATTATAAATGGTGGTTAGGAGATCATCTACTTCAACTTACCTGAGGCCAACCCTACCATTCCGGAGTTAGATTAGTATAGTCTGCGGTGCAAAGGGCCGCGCACACGTACAATCTACATGCGAAACAATTCACTCCCAGCAGCCGCGAGAAACAAATTCAATTACTTTTTTCTACTTAGCATTTACTTCTACACATTTCCTTCACTGCCCATCCTTTTTCCCCACGCATAAAACCCCTATGACTACCGTTTCCGTGGGACAACATGCTGGGACTACGGGTATATGAGGCGCACTACTTTAAATACCTTTGCCCTTAAAAGTAGTAGTCAAACGCTTCCTAATACTTTAAGGTTTTTAAAAGAATGATATAAGGTCTGAAATCACGGTAGCCTGAACATTGGTGACGCCAATTTAGAATTTGACCGTTCTGGGTAGCCGTCACATTCGACGGCGAGTCTTCAAGTTCGTAGGTACTAGAAAAAGCATTTACCCCCTGACGTGATTGCAATCAGGATAAATAGTAAGAAAGGAAGTAAGAAGACGGACAATTTGCCTAATTCTCCCTCTCGAAGACAGAATCGGTTTGAAACGCATTGTCGCGAACACCCAAGTACTTAACAAAAAAGCTGGCACTCTCCGCCGAATGTGGATAGTGGTCATGTGGCAGAGCTGCTAGACTATCACTCCCGTACACTGTCTACCTGATGATGGATCCGTGACGGAATCCGAAACCTCAGGCGAATAGAGTTCTTGCCCCTGCAAGCGCATTTGCTTCTTTTCAACCCATATAGTCGCATTAGCTAGAAGCAAAATACGCAATGCACTACAGTAAGTTTAAGCGACAAAACTCAAGGACGACTGGTGGGATACGAAGTACGTCGGTTAGTGGCCGGACAAAGACTGGAACCAAGTTCGTCACCGGCATGATGAAAACATTCTCAAGTAAATTGCGACAGTTGAAGGATCTAAGCGGCTATTTAACAACAAAATTAAGGAGCTCCACGATACCTCAACACATGCGTACTATTGGCTGTCCCAGTTTTCCGTCCCTGACATTTTTATCTGACGTTATAACCTCACAAACCGTTGGCTCCCATTTACACAACATGCGGGCTGATCCTGTGCAGGAGACACTCAAGATTCACGATTACTTCCTCATTTTCCGCAAGCCCTCACTGAGCAGCTTTGGCGTGTGGCTCCTGTACATAGCCGGTATCTAGATGGAGCTAGAGTGGAATTACCAACCTTGTGCAGCCTACATCCGAAGTTTTCCACCAATGTGACTGTCCTCTCTCACGCGCAGTCAAGTTAGCGCGAACAATATTGTCTCTGTTTTCGGCTTCTTTTTAAGAAAATTCCGGGTGTATGTGGTCCTGTCTGGTTGGTGGCAGTAGCAGGGCGGTGGGGCTGGTCGAGATGAACTAGCGGTTCATTTCACAGAGGGTTGCGAGGAGGAGGGTTGAGCACGTCCTGAGCCCCATATTTAAGCCTTTCTGTTAGGCGTGCCAGGTGCAGTTCTATGTCTCTATAGGGCATGGCTTTGTCTGCGCTCCAGACTTCGTAGGTGGGTGGAAAGGGCATTGAGTTAGCGTCGCTTGCCAGGCGATAATCCTACAGGGTGGCTTTGGTCGCCTTCGTACTGGGACAGTCGACTCCGCGTACGCAAGCAAACTGTTTTTTTTTTTAAATTTAGATGCCGACATGTAACAGGGTCTGGAATCTTCTGAAGGCAATTTAAGGCGACGCACAGGAAAGTATGGGTGACGGATAAAAATCTCGGCGGCTTGGCACCAAATTATTAACATCACGAGCTGGTCATCCGCACCAAGTACAAAATTGTACCATGAATGCGGAGTTGTTATTTTTAGCAGGTGTGCGGCCGCATAGCGAATGCGTCTTATAGGTGCTACAGCTTTCGTCCCCCGGTGATGAATCCAAGAGGTCAAGAAAATACAGTCGAACCAACAGCCAACGCCCATCTGCCTTGCTGACTTAGCCACCGCATTCAATTCCGCCTACCCCGAATCCCTATGGCGAATAGTGGCACTAGATGGTGTACTACCAAAAATCATCTCCATGATCAGGGCCTATTACCGCATCACCACCGCGTGAGTTCTGGTTTATAACAATCTTTCACAACCGTTCTGTGCTCGGTCTGAACTTCGACAAGACTATGTCTAGTCGCCCATTCTGTTCAATTACGTTATCGACTGGATTTTCAAGATGGTCCTACAAGAAGTTCACGGTTTTGAGGTTGCAAACGGATATCACCTCGCCAGCTTCGAGCTGTGATGATCTGCAGTCTATGGTGTCACGAGTGAATGACATTGCGCATTCGGCCGGTGTATTCACAATCACTTAAAAGGCCATAGCCTTTTCAAGCTGGATCTCTGATCAGGAGAATGACTCGCTCGAGATAAATGAATTTCAACTTGAGGAAGACAGTTTCAAATAGCTCGGACGGGGCTAGTGTAGAATGGACAGAGCAAGAATGACGTCGCCTCTCGAATTGGTGCTGCTTTTGTGAAGCCTTAGAAAGTGTCGATGAACCCGTCGCTATATCTCCATCGTCATCAAGAGTCACATGTACCGCGTGTCTATCCGGTCAGCCCTTCCCTGCGTTTGCGAATGTTGAGCTATGTGCGTGAAAAAATTAACGAGTACCGGAAGTATTCGACTACCAATGTTTGCGGACCATCATTCGAGTGAAGTACACAAACACTGTCTCAAATGACGCAGTCTGCACTCGCTACGACAACATCGTAAAAATACTTCAGATTATCCAAGAAAGACGAATGAGGTGGTTTGGGTAATTTTTTTAACTTCCTCATCCTCTAGAGCTCAGTGTTGCTGTCTCTGACCCAGAAACGTTGCTCACTTGGAGGTATCTAAAGGGAAGTCAACTAAAAAACGGGGATGACAGCGTTCGTCAAGACATCGATGTGGTTCTTGGACATTCGGTATTCGGATTGAGCTGTACGGGTCTACCGCCGCAGATCGTCACGCATGGAAAGACTTAATCGAGGTCGGTTCGACCCGGCATGATCGAGTACACAGTACAAGTATTCAAGTGAAAGGACAAGGCCAACATGACTAGAGATGGGCGTAGGAGCACAGGATGATATGGCGAAGATCACACACGTCTGGGTCCTTTCATTAAGGTAAACGTAGTTTTAGAAAACTTATCCGATTCCTTATCAACGACTCGTCACAAAAAACCTATTACAAAGTAACTACTGCCCGATAGTTATTCCAATCTAGTGATACTGTCAGTTGAACGTGTTCTAAGAGGTTAATGAGAGGCTAACTCGCGCCAAAGTTTGCTTAATCGCAGTCTAGATCAAACGCAATAGGGCAACCAGTTGAAAAAAGTGCAGTATTTACCAGGCTCACCGTTTGGACCGGTCTCAGAGTCAGTAATCCAAAAATACTGGCAAACGTTACCCAACGTTAAATACAT